GTATATATCTGCATGCATTAATTAGATAAATAGAATTAAAAGAAAATACTTGTATCAACCTAGCCCAACAAAAGCGTTGTCTCCTTAACGTTTTTGCCCGACACACGTAGCAAGCGTCTTACAGGATAGAATGGTTCTTCGCTCCCAAAAGGATTCCGGCGAACTCAAAGATGCACAAAGGGAGAGAGAATTTGAGGAATTGTTTGTGAATTTTCGGATGGATCAAAAGTGAAGACAAGACGGGTATTTATAGAGCTCTGGCCAGGAGTCTTTTAACCCAAAAGACACCTTTTAAAAGAAAGTTCATGACCTTTCTTTTAAAACGAATGACTGTGTCTTTTATTTGGTTTTATCCGAAAAACATAGCAAAAATAAATCTTCCTATCTTAAGCCCGATTATTGACTTGTCAAAGACCCAAACCCGATGCGTGTTAAGTATAATTTCACGCTTATCTTTCGGGGAATAATTTCTCATTCATTTCAAAATGATTTTTACAAATAATATTAATGACCATAATATTAATTTGTAAAACCATTTTTCCAACACATAAATCTAGTGCTATCAATTACCATACAAAAAATATAGAAACACAGCACTCACCCTAGTCTAATAAGCACATTCCTAATTCCACTTCACACTGTTCACCATAAGTGTCCCTGACCTATGTAAAATAAATCACAACACGAAATAACTCAGAACACACTCATCAGTGAACAAACTTCTTACACTACAAATAAATAAAACAAACACTCCCACGGCTAGCCGATCCTCAAATAATCAAATTTGACACTTCAAATTTTATTGCTTAATTATCACATCGTTTAATAAGGGGGGAACAATGCTGATCAGATGAACATGCCGCATCAATAAAGGGTACGTTTGTCCAGTAAATTTGATGACTTGGAAGGGCCTAGATTCCAGTGAATCATGGGCAGTAGTAAACGATTGTTTAGAATTTGGAGGGAGGTTATGCGGATCTTTGTACTAACTCAAAGAGTCCAACCAACTAACTTTTAAATTAATGCTCCCTTTTTTGAAAAACGACCTTCTCGATAGTACATAATTAGAAATTATGTGTATTGCACTTGCCTCCTTATAGTTATAAAGAATAAATAACAGGTTATTAGGGAACAATTAACCTTATAATTAGGCAACCTTAAATTATTTGGGATGAGTGAAATACAAGACAACTAAAATGTAACGATGTTATGAATATGAAATTGAAAAACACAACACTCACCTTAGTCCAACAAGTCCAATCTTAAATTAAACCTTGTCGTGCCCATCATATGCGTTTGTCACCTAACTTACTAAGTAAACAAAAACCAACAAGAAATAATTTTAAACACACTCCCAAATAATTTAACTTGAGTTGCTAAAGTAAAACCATGAATCAACTTAACAAACATTTGCTTATAAACTAGTTTCACACTCTCTTGAAGCTATCCCATCCTTAATGACTCACATTTGGCATGTGAACTTATATTGCCTAATTTATTATCCCATTGTAAAAAAGAAAACCAAACTCACTGCCTTATCATACAATATAACTTTAGGTGTCTTTTGATAACTTGGATAAATTAAGATTCATAAATTATTTCGAGTGAAACCTTGTTCATATTTTGGACAATAGTTGTAACTGAGCCTGCATTTTTTAGTTATAAATAAGCGATTCCAGGTTACTAGGTGAACAACATAACAACAAAACACGCTAACAATAAAACTAATGCTATCAAAACTTGTGCTATCAGTTACCATAAAAATAAAAATAAACGCATAATACTCACCTCAGCCCAATAAGCACACTCCTAAATCCACTTCTTAGCGTTGTCCATAAGTACATACCCATGCCCTATGTAAAATAAAACACAACCGAAATAATTTTAAACTCATTTCTAAGTGAACAAACATACAAAGAAAATATTTCAAACAAACTTAACAAATATGTGTATAAATTGGTTTCAAACTCTCCCGTCGCTAGCCCATCCTTCACTCGAGTATGACGCTTAAACTTGTATTGCTTAATTATTACTCCGTACACCTTTTGAAAAAGAAATACAATACTAACCGGATGAACACGTGAAAACTTTTAGTATTTCGAGGCTAGATTTATGAAAATTGTTCATCACTTTTGGTTTTATTTTGTCTCATAAATTTGAAAACTTTAATGAATAATGGACAGTAGTCAATGGTATTTTAGTATATATTTCGAGGCTAGATTTACGAAACTGACTTTTAACTGAATATTTGCTCCGAACTTACAAGTCAACAATAGCCTTCTGGAAAATATAAGATTAGAAAATAGTTGTAATTAAGCGTGCATTCTTTTAGTGATGAACAATTGGTTCAGGTTTTTAGATGGACAAATAAACAATAAATGACGCTTACATAAATCTGGTGTTATAAATTTGATGACTTAGAAGGGTCTAGATTCCAGCGAATCATGAAAACAGTACTATCAGTAACCATAAAAATTAAAATAAACGCATAATACTCACGTCAGTCCAATAAGCACACTCGTAAATCCACTTCCCAGTTCTCTCCCTAAGTACATGTGCCCTATGTAAAACAAACCGCAACCGAAATAAATTTAAACTCATTTCTCAGTGAACAAACATGCATGGAAAATAAATCAAACAAACTTAACAAAGTATGTGTACAAATCGGTTTCAAACTCTCCCGGCGCTAGCCCATCCTTCACTCGAGTATGACGCTTATATTGCTTAATTATTACACCTTTTGAAAATGAAATACAATGCTAACTGGATGAACATGTGACATCACTCCAGGTTTCATTTTGTCTCATAAATTTGAAAACTTTGATGAATCATGGACAATAGTCAACAATATTTTAGAATTTGGAGGCTAGATTTCTGAAATTGACTTTTAACTGAATGTTCACTCCCATCTGGCCTTCTGGCAAGTATAAGGTTAGAAAATAGTTGTAATAATTAAGCCTGCATTCTTTTAGTGATAAACAATTGGTTCAGGTTTTTAGATGTACAAAATAACAACAAATGACGCTTACACAAATCTAGTGCTATCAATTACCATACAAAAATATAGAAACACAGGACTAACCGTAGTCTATGTTCACACTCCTAAGTGTCCGTGACCTATGTAAAATAAAACACAACTCGAAATAAATTCATAGATTAGACGAAAATAGATTGAACAGAAAATTTCAAGAGGTTTGGGGCTTTTATTAACTCAAAGCTTCCTATCAGCTAGTTTTAGCTTAATGTTAAATAACCGATTAAAAAAATCAAAATAATTAGTTGGAATCGAGACTGCCACTTCATAGTTATAAACATTACATAATAGGTTATTAAAGATTCACTAGCTGATATGCACTAGTTAGTAGTGCATAAAAGTATGTTTTCATATTTGTTTTGTGTGGATTGTTTACCATTTGTATGTAGTTGTAAACATTTGTTTACTTTTATTTGTAAGTGTTTTTAGCTTTTATTTGTAAGTTAGGAAGTATTGATAGAGTTGTTGGCAAGGAAAAGGAAGAAAAAACAAGGAGAATGCTGCCCAGGAATATATACCCGGCCTGGTAGAAACCCTCACCCGGTCGGGTTTGAGTTAACATATGCAATCTCCAGGAAACTGCTTGGCCCGGTCGAGCCCTATACCTCACCCGGTCGGGTGAGACTTGACCGAGGACATCCAGACGTGCTGAAGAACACTAAAACATGGAAAATATTTGATTTTGACCGGACCCGGTCGGGTGGATACTCTACCCGGTCGGGTACCCGGCCAAAGGTGCTGAAAAACACCTATAAATAACACACTTTTTCTTCACTGTTTTCCATTCCTTCTTCCATACTCTTAAGCTCAGTTTAGAATAGTATTTCTTTTATATTTTTATAGCATGTTTTGTCTCCAAATGAGGAGCTAAACTTCCAATTCTTGGTGTTGCTCTTGAAGCTTGTTGATTATTAAAGTTGTGAGTTATTTTCTTAACTTCTTCCCTTGAATATTAATTCTTCCCTTAATCTATCTATATATTAATGTTGTGGAGTGTTGCTAAAATGACAATTAGTTAACATCTCGACATTAGTTATAGTAGTATTTATTTTCTTCCTCTATGTATTAATGTTGGAGAGTGTTGCTAAGATGCCAATTAGTTAACATCTTGACATTAGTTATAGTAGGATTTATCATCTTTAATATTCTTCCTTGAATATTAATTAATTCCTATTCATATTTCATATTAATATTTTGAACATTACTTAAAGTATCAACTAGTTTTGTTTCATATATTAATTATTACTAGAAACGATCGACGAATACGCTTGTTAATCGTTGATGGTTTCACAAGTAAGTAACTTCGGTTTATTAATGCACGGTCGTGGTTAATAAACTTAAGAGAGATTAATTTTGTTGGTTAAACCGAAACCGTTGTGTTGAGGTTATCAATCTCTATTGATTTCATCAAGGAGTTAAGAGATTAAATGCTACTATCAAGTCGGTATATGGCGGTGTTCTATGCTTGACTAATAGTAAGGGTTATTAATGAACGGTCGTTGTTAATAACTACCCTCGATGAATTGGATATACTCTTCGATTGAGTATTTGAGAGGGGATAAGTTATAGATATAACAATGATTGACTAAAATATATCAACAAGTGAAAAGTAGCAATGCCAAGCCCTTTTTATCTTTGAATTAAATCTGATATAAGTCGTTCATCTTCATATTTAATTAAATTAAATTCCAACAATCCCAAAACCCCCCTTATTTACTAGTTTTACTAAAAAAAGAATTATTCCTTTCTTTCTGGATACGAACTCTACTTCACCTATACTACTTATAAGTGTTAGTATTGAATATTATTTTGACGCACCGTGACAAAGTGTTCGTAAAATTTGGCGCCGTTGCCGGGGAAAAGCAATCATTTTTCTTTTTAATTTAGTTCAAAAAAAAAAAAATTAAATAAACAAAATATAGTCAACCAGAGTCTATCTCCAGTTCTCCATTTCGCATTTCTCCCCCAGAAGTGAGTCACTAGCAAGTTTAACCTCCCATTACCTCCATGGCTTCACCCGCCACCACCTCCGCCAGTTTCACAGCCAACGCCGCTGCTACCCACTTCCAGACTCACTGGTGTCACGAGTGCGACATGAGCGTCCTCCTCTGTCCTTCGACCTCTTCCCCTGTGGTACGCTGCCCTCATTGCAGCTCCGACATCCTTGAGCAAATGGACTCTCTCGACCCTTCTCCGCTGCCCAATCTCGGTTCCATCCCTAGTCTCGCTCCCTTACTTGTCGATCATAGCACAGCTCTCATCCCCTCGGACGATAACTTCCTCCTCGACAGCCCTTCTCTCAACCGTCTCATCCACCGTATGGCCACCACCAACGACGCCTTCACCTCCACCAACCGCCACCACAACCCGACCTCGAAGTCCGCTTTACAATCCCTAAAAGTCATACAAATCGGCGCTTCAATTTTGGAAAAGGACCCGATTTTAGCCTGTCCAATCTGTAAGGAGGAGTTTCTGTTAAACTTGGAAGTGAAACTGTTGCCCTGTAAACACATGTACCATTCCGATTGCATTTTGCCGTGGCTAGAGATTAATAACTCATGCCCTGTATGTCGGTTCCTGCTTCCTTCACGTGAAGATGAGGACTTTGAGGTTGACAATTTTCCTAGAGGAGACAATTTTATAGGATCAATGAGACTGGAAGAATTGATGAATGATGATGCGGAAGAGTTTTTTCGTTTTCAAAGTACTATAAGACGTATTTTACATGTGAATGAGGTCTCCACAATGAGTGGAGGCCGGGATGAAGCTATTATACATATTGAACGGATGCCTCATGCTATTATGGAGGGTGATGGCGCGAGTGAAATCTGTCTGCTTTCTCCTACACAGATTGGGGGTGCTGATCTTGAGGTCGGGGTTGCTAGGGGGGCTGCCAGCCTGGAGACTGTTTCGAGTTTTCCTTGCTCACCTGGAGATGATGCCTATGAAGGTGAAGTTGATTTTAGTAGTAGTACATGTAGTAGGCTGGACGAAGGAGTTGCTGTACTCAGGTCTTGAAGTGAATCCACTAAGAAGGTGCACTTCCTACTAAGAAAATAAAGGTATAATTTTCTTATTGCAGTCTGTTTTTTGCTCTTTATAAGTTAGATAAACATATATCTTTCCTGGATTCAACATGTATGCTTGGACTCAGAACTACACAATGCAGCTATAAGCCATGAGTCCTACTGAGTATTTGTTTATAACTGGTTATATTATACTCCATATTTTACTATGTTAATATAGGGTTCCAAGTAGATTAAGAAGAAAATAGTATGGTTGGTAATGACTGTTTACATCGGAAGAGAGTAGTGGTAGTGAATAGTGTAGGAAAGAGCAAATGAAGAAAATATAAAAAGAAAATAAAAGTACAAAAATAAATGAAATGGTACAGTGGAGCTTACCAAAATGGAAATGGAACAAATAAATTAAATATATCTCAAAAAGGAATACAGAACAAATAATAAATACAGATGAAGTACAAACAATGGTCTTGCTGTCCTATTCCCAAGAGTACTTCATCCTGTTCTCATTGTGAGCATGCTTTAGTTGTGCATGTAGGCATGGACTACAAACTCTATATTAGTTGCTCTACTCATTTTAGAAAAGCTGGACAAATCAATTCTAGTTACTGGTGGAGAGTGGCATTTGTTTTATTGACACAAAAACCATTCTTTTGCTGTGTTTACATAAAAGCAGATCAAGCTGTGACTGCAATGGCCTTTGTAATGTTGGTTGTATACAATAAAAGCTCTACAAAATGTTACTATATACTACCTCCGTCCCACTATGTTTGGGACAATTCGGTTTACGATATTTGACTGATGATAAAGCAAACAGATTCATGTTCGCATTCAAATTATTTTTAGATTTTTTTTACATATTCAGAAACTACATTAAAAACTTTACAAAGTCGCAAAAACCAGAATCAAATTTGATAAAAAATTGATATATAAAGTAAGAGATTAAGAGTGATTTGTGTTGACCAAGTGAATTGGGACAATCTTAACGGGACGGAGGGAGTATAAATTTTGACTTCGATTCCTTTTTTAATCTAAACCTTATCGCCATTGCTTTTCCTTAGAATAAACTATATATATTTACTCTTCTTTATCACTCTATTAAAGCACTATGTAATTAATAATTAGTTAAAAATGCTATGATATCCAAGGTTGTTAAAATCGCAACTCAACTAGTAAGATCGTACGCTTTTACGATTCATTATTATAAGTCAATTCAAATCGCAAGCAGAATCGGATTTCACAAAAGTCACATGAAACCGAGTTAAAATCGTTCAAAATCGCTTAAAATCACGATTTTCGCCGATTTGCAATTTTGAAGTTAACTGACAATTTATGCCTGTAACATACTTGTTAGCGGCACATTTTGTTGCAATCAAACAGCAGCGTTTAAGCGTTTTAAGAGATTTTATAAGGAATGAAGATGATAAGTTTCGCTCTCAGTTCTGGTGTGGGAAGAAAGCACAGAGAAAAGTCAAAAACCTTAAAATCAAAACAATTCTGTTAGGATTCAAACCCATGTCATCATAACCCATACAAATATTCCTCAACTACCAACTTAACCAACACAACTAACATGAACATTTAGCTTTATTAGTTTACAAATTAAGGCTGAGTTGCTGAACACACAAATCTACCCAAAATTAAGTCTCACGTTTTACTATATTATTTTGCATTTAAGAAAAAGCATATAATATTAGGCTTTTGGGTTTGATTTCATCATTCAATATTTATACATTTCATCCCCTTCTATATTATACGTAGTATAAGTGTATAAGTTTAATTTGTGCTTTTATTATTCATACTTATCGTGAACTTTGATTAAAACATCATAACTAATTTGTTGAGTGATGGTTGTTCTATAAATATGTTTAATTATGTGTATTAATAATTTGTATATACTAATTTTATAATATCTTACGATTTACGAGTCGATTTTCAAATCCTTGTACCAATTTGATGCAAAAATACGATTTTAACAACCTCGATAATCTTAAACATATAGTCATTAATACATGATCCATATCACAATGGAAAAGAATAATACTGTTACCATATACTAAGGCCATTTATAATTGGAAAGTGGTGTACTGAGAAGGTTAGGGAAGGGTTCATAGAATGGAAAATGTTCTCATGCTTCTTCCCAAGTGAATACATGAGGATGAGTTAATTTGAGAGTAACCTTCTTATTTGCTTTTTGCATGGGAAATAAGAAAATGAAGTTGTGGTATATGAGTATTGTTAAGATACGGGGTTCCATCCTAAAAGGTCAACCTGATAGGAGGAGTAGCCCGTGTGTTAATATAGCACTTTGTTCATCCAAACTTTTCTGGTATGGGACATTTAACAAATTGATCCATGGTGTGGGGTCCCTTATGAAAAAAAATGAAAATTACGGTCAAATGAAAAAAAAACGGACCGATGGAAAAAAAAAATGAATGATGGCACGATCCAGACGAAGTGTCTGGTCGTGAGGAGGGGTGTTAAATGTCCCACACCGGAAACGTTTGGATGAACAAAGTGCTATATTAACACACGGGCTACTCCTCCTATCAAGTTGACCTTTTAGGATGGAACACCGTGTCTTAACAAGTATATAGCAGTGAAAGAAACAATATAAATCACAGTTATTTCCTTGAAAGGAAATGGACGGTTTACTGTTGGACAACAAAGGGAGAGTAGGAAGTTTATTTTGGGGTATGAGGATATTATACAACTAAGGAACTCCTGATATTAAAATGTTATATCAGAACTTTTAGAGAAATAATTTAAAATGTCTGAGTTTCTTTGTTATGAAGCAGCAGTCAGTGCATGCAATTTTCGACACGATTTTCTTCATGGGTGGGAGCCTTAGCGGCATAATGTTTTTGTATGTTTATCGGAATAATTAATTCCATTCATAAGCAATGGGCACACTTACTCACTTAGAGTTATTCACAAGTAATTACATAGAGGATATGTGTTGCACTGAATAATTTAAGGTTTATTGTTCATAGAGTAAATCCATTATTCTTGCCAGAATTATATGGCCATACTAGGTAACATTTTGTAATTTTAGGTCCCTATTTCTTGATGTCCTATTCTTACGAATCTTATCCTCAAGTCCTGAACATTAGTTCTGATGAATTGCTAATCCAGATAGCTAGTATACAAATAACATTTGAATGGAAAAAATTGAATCATATTTTGGACAACTATTAAACTAAGTGTACACAGAGCTTTGTGTACAAACTGTACTCTCACTCATGCAATAATGCAATGCCTGACGATTCTGTGTTATGCCAATGTTTCACTGATACTCCCTTCGTCCCGAAAAGGTTGACCAAAGTTGACTTTCACGTGGATTAATAAAGTAAAAACTGTGTGGTTGAAATTTGTGCAGAGGAGAGAGAATTATTTTTAGCCACATATTTCTTACTTTAAATGGAAATGGAAAATCTTTTTGGGACATCCATAAAAGGAAATTTGGCCGACCTTTTCGGGACGGAGGGAGTATATGATTTGTGCACATTACAAACTGTTCGTATGTGTTATTGTGTTTTAGGAAAATTACATCGGCACAAGCACTTTGACCTTTCTAGAAGTAGTGAACATTTTTTAACATGCTCCAGTTACATATTTAAAACAATGCTTTTTTAATCTCACTCTTCTTAATGCAACTAATGAATACTGCTGTTTACAAATTTGGAAGGAGTAGTTAGTTGATTGGTCATCAATGGGCTATTCAAAATATCATGGTTACATATATGTATTACGGCGTGAAAAGGATTCTAGGATCTTTTTTTTGTTGATAAAAATGGAGCAGAATTTTGATTAAATAATTGTGACTCCAAACTCCAAAGGAAAAAGAGATCTAAATTAGGATTTTCAAATAAATATCCTCAAAAGTAAATGAGAGGAGTTTATTTGTTTCTGTATTCGTTTAAATTATTGCCCGGACACATTGTTCATGCTCAGCCAGGCCAAGTATACTGACAAAAACTTAACGGATGAGCGTGTTTTAATTTGCTTCCCCCACCGCACCCCTCACTCACACACTTGTCTTTCCGTAAGAATAAGGTTAAGAATATAAATTAATATATTCATGCCCTTCTCTAGTCCTTGCTGCTCCCACCGATATTCAAACTCATCTCAACCCCATTTCTCTGATAAATATCCTAAAATTTCTTCGCATTGCAAGCAAGTCATTATGGACCTCGCTGCTATTTTTGCTCCGGCAAGTAACTCTCACATCCCCAACCGTCATCTCTATCTCTCTATTCATGGAAACCCTTCCGTCACTACTGGTCCATTTAATGACAATCCTACTTCAAAGTCTGCAATTGAATTACTTGAAAGTGTTACAGTAAACTCTTCATTTCTAGAAAAAGAGCCAATTAAGGGTTGCCTGATGTGTTAAAATGAGTTCAAGTTGGACGTGGAAGTTAAGAAATTGCCATGTAAGCATGTTTATTATTCAGAATGCATTGTGCAATGGTTAGAGATGAAGAACACATGCCCTGTTTGTAAATTCCAGCTACCATCACAGGAGGATGAGGATTATGATTTTCTGGGGCTGCCAAGAGACGACAATTTTATTGGGACAATAATTTCTGAAGAACTGCTGGATGTGCAGGAGGAGTCAGAGGAGGAGTTTGTGCATATTGAGAGTCCTCTTGGACCTGACTCATTTAGTCATAATCTTGCCATGGTGGACAGTTGGATCACTGATATCACCATTATGAGCCATCCTAGTCAGGAGACTCAGGACATGGACTTTCTATATCTGATAAGTATTAGAGTGAGTCTTAGTGAATATTTGGATGATCTGTTTTTTAGGTTCTGTGACTTCAGTCAGATGGTAGTGGAGATTGAGATTGAAAGTCTACTTGTTTTACCGGTAGTAGTGCACATTCGGGAGAGTGGTCTTGGCGTTGATTTAATAGGAATGGCCAACATGAGGAGAGCTTGGTGGTGTATTAGTGAATGGGATCTAATGTAAAGTTTTTCAGCTTTGCAAGGTTTGGATCTCGTATCATCAGAACCGAGGTATGATTTGCTAT